ATGCTCGCTGACTTGAGTAGATCTGATTTCGTTTTTTTTTGTCGCTTGCGCGCGCCATGCGTGATAAACATTACTGGTGGAGCTTTTGGGGTGCCTGGGGGAGGGAGGCCACTTTGGTGGGCTGACAGTCGCATAAAATGCCAGCCAGCTCCTACCCCATTTGGGACGCAGCTCACACCGTAGACTCCCAAAGCTGGGCTGGGCACAGCGACTACACCCGGGTAACCACTTCAACGGATGTCTCCGCGTCCCCTTCCACCGCCAGTTAACTTGCTTACGAATACGGACTCGACAGCAGGAGAGGCGTCGTCAGCGTTGTGGCGCGCGCAGACGGAGCTTTGTGCCGGTTCGGCTCTTTCGCTCATGTCTGTCTCCAGTTGTCCTGACCCCTGTTATTCTAACTATCGGTATGGGACTAGGGTTTTTATCAATGTTAGGCTAGTCTTCCCCTCAATATAAACCAATGAATATGCAAGCAATTGCTATTTGTTCATGATTGGCGATTAGCATTATCGTGTTAGATAAATTACAGGCATCTTCAGTAGTTGCGTGCAAACATGATAGGTAATACTCCTCTAACAACACAGGAGTGGCTGCCCTAACTGCCACATTAGTAGAAAACTAGTAGGTGCGCTGCAGAGTTCAATTAGGCATTCCTCGGGCCAAGCTTTGCCAATCTGTTCGCGGAGCCAAACTGTCCTCATGACTTAGTGATCACGTAAACGTTAGCTGTTCAGGTGCGAGGGTCTTTGATTGGATGACGAGGGGGGTCCGGGACGCTGTACTTAGTGCGGGTGTACTAGCCCTGGGACCAGAAACCTAAATCAAATGCGTGATGTTTAAGATAGGCGGAAACCAGCAAAGGCGGTTTGTGAATTCATAAAGTGCCTACTTTAAAAAAAGACAATCCAGTGACTTCGCTGGGCTTGATCATTTGGTCAGGCTAACAGTACAAATCGCGGTGGCCTCTATTGACGGGGTAGGTGCCTATTTTCCTTCAAGCTGAA